AGTCACCAGGGACCTCCCCTGTTAACCAGGACTGCTGACAGATGATGGAGAGTGGCTTGGCAAGCTTGTCTGCCAGCTCCCTCCATACTCTTGGGTGGATCCCATCTGGCCCCATAGACTTGTGAGTGTCCAGGTGGTGTAGCAGGTCATTAACTGCTTCCTCCTGGATTATGGGGGCTCCATTCTGCTCCCCGTCCCTGACTTCCAGCTCAGGGGGCTGAATACCCTGGGGATAACTGTTCTGGCTATTAAAGACTGAGGCAAAGAAGGCATTAAGGACCTCAGCCTTTTCCTCATCCTTGGTGACAATGTTCCCCCGCCCCCACATCCAGCAAAGGATGGAGATTCTCCTTGGCTCTCTTTTTGTTGTTAAGGTATTTGTAAAAAAATTTTTTTATTATCTCTTAAACAGTGGCCAGATTGAGTTCTAGCTGGGCTTTTGCCTTTCTAATTTCCTCCCTGCAGGACCTAACAAGATCCCTGTACTCCTCCTGAGTTGCCTGCCCCTTCTTCCAAAGGTGGTAGACTCTCCTTTTTCCCCTGAGTCCCAGCAAAAGCTCTCTGTTCAGCCAGGCCAGTTGTCTTCCCTGCCAGTTCGTCTTACGGCACATGGGGACAGCCTGCTCCTGCGCCCTTAAGACTTCCTTCTTGAACGCCCAGCCTTCCTGGACCCCTTTGCCCTTCAGGACTGCCTCCCAAGGGACTTTCCCAACCAGTGTCCTGAACAGGCCAGAGTCTGCCCTCTGGAAGCCCATGGTTACAGTTTTGCTGCCCCTACTCCTTACGTCACCAAGAATCGAAAACTCTTATCGTATCATGGTCGCTAGGCCCAAGACAGCCTCCGACCACGACATCTCCCACGAGTCCTTCTCTGTTTCAGTATGTCTTAAGAAAAAAGCTCTAAGTTTCTGGAAAATAATAAGGCAAAGAGTTTAGTCAGTTCATCATATACATTCTTCTGTATTTAGTGAACACAGACTTGGCTACTTTGTCCTAAACCCATTTTGTTTTGAAATTGTTAGAGTAAACAAACTGAAAGTTGCAGCTGTATTTACTTGACTATTGCTTTATTAGCCTCTTATTGCATATATTGTTATATTAATAACTCTTGCATTTGAACCATTGTGCAATAGGCAAGCCTGTCGCCTTTTCCCAAGAAAGTGTGTATTCATAGGGAATTTGTCATCTCTCGGCATTTGGCATTCCAACATCTGAATTTTGCTGCTTATACTGTAACTACTCTTCAAAGTTTAGAAAGTATTCCCTCCCATGTCTGAAAAATTACCTATTTTAGGATCTTATTATGTACTTAAATACAAATGCTGCCTTTTATGAATAGTATTGATATATAGCTAGAACTAGAAAATTGCAGAGATCCATTAGAAAGGTGATCTAGTGGGGGTCACCATACCAGCCGTGTGTTTATTACAGACAGGAGAGGAATGATAGGACGATAGAGCTAATGAAAAAAGAGGTGGCAGGCACAGGAGAAAAGACCACCTTCAAACAGGCATACGGAAGGCCTAGTTTCAATTCCCAATTTTCTCCTCATTTTTCAGGAAATTATGTAGGTGCTGATTCAGTGAAACCTTTGGGTGCTTTGCTTGCAAAAGGACTCCTCCAACTGGAGTTGTAAACAGACCTTTTGCATTTTGCAGTAATCCTGTGTGCTGTATCGTGTGGGTACCCAATGACAAACTGTGCTGGTTGCTCATAATTCCTAACATAAAAATTGTTTTGCCAGTATGTAGTACCTCAAACAAAATCAGGTCTTGGACTGCTCAAGTTGGGCATAGAATAAAAGACTTCCTGAAATTTAGAAGACAGTCTTGCAAATCTTTTCTTAATTTATCTGTGAAGTGATATTTTGGCAAAACTAATTATGTTCCCAAGAGATGGAGAATGTCGATGTTAGGAATGTAAGTTTGCTCATACATGAGGCAAGATGTTTGTGTGGGTGGGTGTTCTAGTTCTAAGGGGAAATACTAAAGACCAGATTTTGATGCTTTACTGTTTATGGGGCAGAATGACAACACAGTGACCAGCATGAGAAGAAATAGCATTGTCCTTGTTCTATGGTATTGCTGAATTGCAGAGTGTGTTCTGTTGTGGTTCAGTAGTATGTCATAATCCACAGCTACATCATAAAATGCACAGAAACTACATAAAAGCAGGGTGTGACATATCCTAAATTTGCAATGTCTGATATTGCAGAATTTTTTTAATTGGCCACTTAAGACATGCATTTTTATCCATGTGCTACAATTTAATTGTTGGTGTTTTTAAATTTTTTCCTAATTTCTGGGAGCACAAACTATTTTCTCCTGCTCGTTCACGCTGTTGAAAAGTATTTGTTATTCATTATATTTTCAGGTTCAAAGTAAACAAGAGAAGAAACCTGGAACTTCATCCCCAGTCCCTTTGAACTCTGCGGTTAGCCCTTGCACTCTTCTGCCTGTGAATAAAGCCACCAGCAGTACCCCTTTGTCGATAAACATTCCACGTTTCTACTTCCCTAAAGGACTTCCGAATGTCTGCACTAATCATGAAGAAGTCATCGCCAGGATTGAAGAAGCCTTTGCAGAGTTTGAAGATGAGAAAGCAAACATCTGTGAAATGGGGAAAATTGCTAAGGTAACTATTCTCCAGATTTTTCATTGTTCTGAGAAAAGGACTGAATCTAAAAATAAAGTGTCTCACAGCTGTTCTCATTTTTAGTGAAAAAAGAACCAGTATCCTTTTGCTCTGAATGTTTTTGTTTAGATTAAGGAAATAGTAAACAAAAATGAGCTCAATTAGCTGTTTGTCACATCAGATGTGTATGCTCTTTCTTGCTTTGGTTTGCAAAATGGTTCTTTCAGATTTCTTACCAGATACAAATTGCATTTTTGTTTTTCTGTTCCTCCATAGTTATGCTCAAAAGACAGCAGAAACTTAGTCTGCCTCTGTGGCTTCAGGTAGTGCCAGCTACCTTCTTTGTGGTTAGCTGTCCCGCTAATCTGGATATGATCTCTGTATGCTGTTGCAGTGTTGCCTGAGAAAGCCGTTTCCAGCCTACGCCTCCTTGGACACAGAAGGGGGAAATGCTTAGTCAACCCTCAGCCACTGAGATGCCTATGTTCAATATACATAATGCAGGTGTCAGCAGACTTGGAGTTGTTACAGTCTGCTAATGAGTTCCTGGCTTCAGGGAACAAAGCACAGCACTTGTGTGGGAGCACGATGCAGATGGGTGGTTCTGTTTTCTCCTTCAACCATGGTTTTTAGTAACGCTGATGTAAAACTAGCAGTTGTCAGACGCATCTCATATGTTCAATTTACCCTGAATGCATCTTTAGCACTGTAGATTGAGCAATGATGTTCTGTCCAAGAGGAGCACTTGTTTTCCAAGAAGGAAGATTTTTCTGAAAGGAGAGACTAGGTTGGTTTTTTGTTTGTTTTTAGAGGAATTGAGTGGCATTATTTGTAAACCATCTCTAAAAACATGAACTTCTTTCCTTGACCAAAGAAAGGTTTGAAACTGATTTTATGACAGGACAGACAACTGTATGTGACCTGTCATGTTCAAACTGGGAAAAGCAGCAGGGTGGTGTAGAAGAGACCTCTGCCTTTCTGTCTGGTCTCTGCATCTGTCTCTACATCGATGCGCTCCATGCCATTTAGCTGTTGCAAGGCTTGCTTCTGTTCCATGGGATTATTAATAGTGGTACCAGTTTTGGAGGCTTTGAAATAAATGCAAGAGAACCAGCTACACAAAGAAAACAGCAGAAAGTAAATGTCATTCTTTCCTCAGAGTAGCTAAACGCCTGTAGAAGTACAGTCACCTGACGCAGGGATGGCTAAATCCGAAAGCAATTCTTACACTGACTGGGATTCCCAAAGAAACATGCAGGCTCAGACAAAAAGTTGAGAGTGGACTAGCTGCGCAGTCTTGCTTAACAGAAGAGGTGAAAGAGGCTTTATGGGAAAAGCAGAAGTGATGCCTCAACTACTTCTTCAAAGTATTCCTCCTTCCATTTGGTGTGATATCCTTCTTACTTGTGCCTGGCCTGAATCAGCTGCACTCCCTCCAAGGCCTGTGTTTTACAGATGTTCTGATACATTGGCTGGAGTCATGAAGGTGGCTAGAAAGATATTTGTGGTAAAGAGGAGGTTTCTTGAAGGTGTCAGTAGCTGAATGTTTGAAGCCATTTTCAAGCCTGCTTTTCTGAGGCATTAGAGAGTACAAAATGCTTGAGCTTTTATTGATTCTGAAAGCTAGCAGCCTCTGCGGAGGCTAGTTAAAAAGTTGTATTCAGGGAGTCCTTTTGCTGTAATCAGCCTCTTTCCATTTGTGTTTTCATTTTTTGTTACCATGCCATGATCTAACAGTGTTGGAAAAATGGGCTGTTCTGGGTGGAAGGCACTGCACTGAAAACTACAGGATGGGAATCATTTCACCTTCAGGCATTTGATCATTAATTGTCTATAATTAGAATTGAAGTTCCCTTGCTGTCAATGAGAAGAAGTCAGCCTGTGTAGAGAATGGGTCATACTTTTCTAAGGTAGGTCAGTGAGGTAGCAGGTTTGAGTGGCCTTCTGGAAGGAGGTGCCTGTCTCTCTCCACTTCACTTTGCAGGGAATCTTGCTAAACAGCTCAGTCAGAGACAGAGCTTAAGGGCTTGGTAGTCTCTGATCCTTTTTGTAGCCTGACAGGACATATTTCTCAGCTATTTAAAAAGGCATATGACAAAGTAGAAAGTTATTGGTGGATTCTGAACCTTGGCATACAGTAAATAGCTTTTTGACTAACCTGTGTGCCATTACTGCTCTATTTCCCTTATGTAAAAGTGTCGATGGTGAATTTGGTGTGTAATCAAGCAGGCTCTTCTTGTGAGCTTTTGTATTCCTCTTTGTTCTGGTTTTTCATTACAGATATGTGGCTGCCCAGTCTACTGGAAAGCACCTATGTTCAATGCATCAGGAGGAGAAAGGACAGGATGTGTATCTGTACACTCATTTGTATCATTGTGGAGAAAGTGAGTATAGCAAATGCAAAATTCTCTTTCTGGAAAAAAGAGAACAGCCTGCCATAAAAGCCTCTCTCTCCTCCCTGCCCCTCCACCAGACTTTTCAAATCATTGTCCCTTATTTAGAAGAAAACAAATGGCTTAAAAATCTCCATCAGCTTCAGTTTTCTTCCCCAAAACTCCCTAAACATTTGTTTCCATGCTGCATCAACAAACTTTGAAGCAATTGTGTAGATGATGAGATGTTTTGGTCTGTTTGGCGTATAAAATGTATTATCACACTCCCTAGAAATATGTCAGCCTTTTGTGAGATAGTTGATAGATGTCAATGGATTTTGGATATAATTATCTGAGGCCTTGTTGCTGCTACACTAGTGCACTAAGTGAGGGCCATTTGGGAATGGGGAGAGGAGGCATGTGATAGGACAGGAAGAAGGAATGCAAGATAAAGAAGCATCATACAAATGAATGCTCAGAGAGCTTTAATAGTTACTACCTTCCTCAAGCATGCTGTATAATAAATCTGTGGGGTTTGACAGTCACTTCCATGTACCATTGTCAAGGCTTCTTTTTGACATTGAGAGCTCTGGATATATCATGCTTGGAGTCAAAAGGTGTGAGATGGAACAGACTTGCTTTCTTGCCTAATCTTTTTCCCTCCAGAGTGATTCAGGCTTTAGTCTACTTTGTGAAACACCTGAACAACATCTCCATCTCATATCCAGAGACAGTTCTAATTTTTGACTAAGTGATTGCTCTTCAGATTCTTAAAGTAGCCTTTAACCCTGAGTTCCCAAAGTATTTCCTGTGATAATATTGTCAAAACAGCTTCTAGTTACCCTGGCAAAATTGCCAAAATGTTAGGGGTGACTGTGATCAGTCAGACAACATTTTTTTTCTTTCCTTAGGTTCCTCCAATTACTCCTAATTAATCCCTCATGTATGATACCACATATTTTCACTCCTCTGACTTTCACATCCTTCAGATATTTGCAGGCTGTGGTCATGCCCCTCTTATATATTCTTTTAACCACACCATTTTCAAGCCAAGTTTTGTATGCCAGGTTATGCACTTGGGTCACAACAACCCCATGCAATGCTACAGGCTTGGGGAAGAGTGGCTGAGAAGCTACCTGGCTGAAAAGGACCTGGTGATGTTGGTCGACAGCCGGCTGAACATGAGGCAGCAGTGTG